TCGGAGGTAAACACGCGCACCAGCTGTTCGGCCAAAACACCCGATGGAGGGGATCTTGTACAAATGGACTAATTACTGGAACGGTAAGGCCTCGTAACGACCCCCTGACTGGATGGGAGGAAAGGGACTCTTCTCCAGGACTGTTTGAACGCTTGTCATCGACGGGGATTTTGGTGGGATTTAAGGCTGTTTTTTTTTTTAAAGGGTTTCGTAAGTTCGTCTCTCTCGCTCGTCTCGTCTAAGTGTCAATGACTGAAGGTGTTGATGTGGCACCCTCGGGACCCATGAATACTGCCACAGGGGACTTGTAGGGACGGGAGGGGCTTTGCATTTGCTTGAGGCGGTGGATTAAGTGTAGTTTAAAGAGAAAATAGTTGGTGATTTCTCTGTATCTTTGATAAAGAGGTAATAGTACTTTCGTTTATCGAGGTGGAAGTTCCACATCACTCGTAACTTTTAAGGAATATCCTTACTTTGTTCACCTTACATTTATAGTTTGAATTATTGTATTGACACGTATTTTCGAAATTTTGCATCGGAATAAGTTTGACAAGCCACTTCTCTCTCTAATTCATTTTCTGGGCATTTTAAACTTCCCTGGACTTGAAAATAGGTCATGTTTCCTGTTGTGAGGACAGGGCAGGGGCTTTGAAATTTAATTTCTGAATTTTCCTTCAGACTTGCTTTTTGTGAAGTAATAGCTTTAGATTCATTTCTCTCAGTGTATAAGTCAGTTTTTACTTTGTGTGAATTTAATTGTATGGCATAAGGTGTTGATAGTATTTTAGAAGGTGTGAAATAAAGAAGTAAGGGGAAGTCTGTCTTTCTGGTTAACTGGAAGGAGTGTTATATACAAATGACTAAAACAGGTTGCATGGAAAGTTATCTTGATGTGTTTAGGTAAAGATAATAATTGTGGTGTGAAGGTTGAGGGAAGTATTTTGAAAAAAAATATGAATGATTTTATATGTTTATGCCATACTACAGATTCATGTATTTCCATGTATCTCCTGGTTTCTTTAATTCTAATAAGTAAAATGAAACATTTATATCTCTTTTACCAGATATCTCAAATATGTCTCATGAAAATCTGTGATTATAATACCAAGCCATTAGGATCATCGTTTAAGTATAGTTTTTTTTTTTTTTTTTTTTTTACAAATTTTGATAGATAGTGACATTAATAATAGTATTTCTCCCAGAAATGTAAAAAAAAAAACATTTACACCATTCTTCCACCTGTTTCAGGATGGCAGCCAAGATGGTTTGTGTTGGATCAAGGGGTTCTTGCGTACTACAAATCCCAAGAAGAAGTCAACCAAGGTTCAAAGGGCTCGGTTAAATTGTCAGCATGCGAGATCGTGGGTGAGTCTCTTGTAATGTTCGTTAATGATAGCTTCAGCTGCTTTAAACTATTGATATGTAGATTTATTTTAGTGCAGTAGATGTTTTTATTTTTGTGTGATATTCACAAATAGTCTGTGCTTTGTCGTTTCATGTTTAATTGGACAAATTTTCTTATAGTATGTTTCCTAATCTGTTATTTCTTTTGTCTTTCAGTTCATCCAACAGATACTATGCGTATAGATATAGTCATTCCATATGAGCAACATTTTTACCTCAAAGCACCATCACCCCATGAGAGACATGCCTGGCTTGTGGCTCTTGGTAGTGCCAAGGCCGGCATACCGCCTGCCATTCCTCAAGCTAAAGTAGAGAAGGGTAAGACTGGTGAGAGAATCTTCTTTTCCATGGACAGTAGTTAGTGGTATAGTTTTTTTTCTGAAGGGTACCAGTAGTATTTTTTTTTCTCTTATGCTTACAGTTTTCTTCCCCTGTTGCTAATTCACAAAATGTGCTAAGAATGGCATATTTTTATTCATAACAAGTACATGTACTATATACCATTTTTTTTGGCTGTTTTCTCATTCTTTCTTTTTTTCCCTTTGACAACTATGGAATCCCACTCGGCAATACAATGTTCATTTTATAATTCATTGCTTTTTTTATTTCTAAAAGGGGGATACAGTCCATCTGAGTAATTTTATAGATATTTTTCTATTACATAGTCTGCTTTCATGGTTAATCATGAATGCTGTGAAGTATAACTGATATACAATGACTGGAACATACACAAAGAGAAAGGCATATATGGAGGCAGTGCTGTGGACAAGCAACTAAACAGAGCAGCTAGTTAGGCAGGTTAGTCCAACCATAAAAAGAGTATTGTGGGACTCAGCTAAATGCCTCTGCCTCTTTTCGCCCCTCCGTCCTACCAGTGTTCCTGCTTGTGGGTGACCTTGGCATTTCTCTAGAGGGACCCTGTCTCTTGTGCCATCAGCAAGGAAACTGAGGTCCTCGGATTGTAACCAGATATCATAATATATAACTTAATTCAGTTTCCTATCTTCTTTATTTTTTTATTTTTTCATTTTTTCTTCACATGCTCGTCATACATTTCCCCTTGAAGGATGTCATTTTATTTTTACCAATGGGCCAGCCAGCTGTTTGTCTGGCCCAGAGTGTAATTTTTAGGGACCTTCAATATCCCTTATCTCAGCACAAAGTTGTGTATCATTAATTTTAGAACTCTGTCCTTACTAAGAGACTGATTTTTAACCATTCCTGCATCGTAATCATCATGAAATGAGGAATTTTAGGATTTGCATTTGTTACATAGGCATTAAAACTCAGAAATTATATTTTTGCAGCTTGAATTTTACATTAATGTCAGTGAAATTCATAATCTCATAGTCATACGTTTGATGTGAAAGAGTCGCATCCCTTTTCTAAACCTCTCAATCATGGCTAGATTATCTCCTCTGTAATCATATAATTATTATCTTTTCTGTTTTAGGGTAAAGTTTGTTTTTTTCAAAATTTTGGATCATTCACCTAAATTGATCTTGTTGAAGGATACACAAAAATCAATGCTTTATTTTATTTAGAATACTAAGTTGATATTATAGATTTTGTTATACTAAAAATTGTAATTATTGATGAGAAGAAGAAAAAGCAAACAGTAATCACCTGACATAATTGTACTGAATGCCTCGTAATTCACTGCTGCACATCTCCTTTCAGAGCCTGAACACGATACTGTTAAAGTTAAAAAGTCGGAGCTGAGACTTACATGTGACTTACTGATGAAGCAGGTGTATAGTGTGAAGACAGCTGCCAACAACCCAGATGGACCAGATCTTGAGGTTTGTTTATGTTTTTGAGGTGATGGTAGCCTTGTATTTCCATGATTTTTTGTTTATTATATTTATTATTTTCTTCTTTTCCTTCATTGGTCATGTAATTTTTCACTTCTTTGCATTTGTATTTCTCTTTTTTTTTCACTCTCCCTCCTTCTGTCTCTCCTCTCCCTACCCTTCTCTCATTCTCATTGCACTTATCTCCTCTTTTCACTCTTCAAAGAAATAAATGAATAAATAAAAAGAGTGAGTGACAATGAGAGAGAGAGAGAGAGAGAGAGAGAGAGAGAGAGAGAGAGAGAGAGAGAGAGAGAGAGAGAGAGAGAGAGAGAGAGAGAGAGAGAGAGAGAGAGAGAGAGAGAAAGAAAGAAAGAAAGAAAGAAAGAGGTATTAGGGTTCATAATTAATTCATAGTAAGTTGATGGTCTTAATATTCATAAGGAAGGAGAGAAAATTTGTCTATCTGACTACAACTCTGAACCAATACTCTGGCTTGGAGGTCAGGCAGGACAGCCAGGACTAATCTGTCATCTGCTGGTTTACTGCAGTGACACCTAATAAGTTTTATCACATTCAAGGTTAACCTGTAGAGTCCGACAACCCTCTCCCTCTCTCCCTCCCTCCCTCCCTCCCTCCCTCCCTCCCTCCCTCCTTCCCTCCCTCCCTCCCTCCCTCCTTCCCTGCCCATCATCCTCCCACTACCTTCTCCCTCTCCTCCTCCTCCATCCTCTCCCTCCCTCTCCCTCCTCCCCCCTCTCCTCCCTCCCTCTCCCTCCCTCTCCCTCCCTCTCCTCCCTCCCCTCCCTCCCCCTCCTCCCTCCCCCTCCTCCCTCCCCCTCCTCCCTCCTCCTCCCTCCCCCTCCTTTTTTTCCCTGTTAGTATTGTTAATAACATTATGATAATCATGTCAGTAATAATAATGATAATATCAGTATTGATGGAATTATATAAAACCATATTTAAAAAAATCAAGGAAAGGGGATATCAGGTGAGGTCACATGTGTATACTTATTGGCTCCGTGATGGCTAAGCACTTGTGGAGCCATTGATGTGCAAACAGATTCACAAGAGAAAACAACAGTCAGCTGTACATACACGCAGCAGGAGAGGGTTCAGAGTTATTCTTCCTGTAGATATTTGTTAAGAGAAATCCAAAAATCCCCTTTGCTGTTCTCTGCTAATTTTCATGGCCTTTCTTATGAACTAGGGTTTTGACTGATGAATGTGTGTTTAAGTTTTTTGATACAGAAGGTGTCTAAGAAAAGTATTTTGAAGAATATTGTGGAGTGAATTACGTATAGATACAACTTTTATGTATGAGTTACAAAATTAAAAATTCCTTCAAGAACAAAAAAATCTTGGTCTATTCAAGCAGACGATGTGGCAAAAATAATGATCAAGTTATTGTTGTTAGTGATTGTTTGTTCTAGAACACTAATCATAAGTTTACTTGGAATCACATGGCTAAAAATGCATGTATAGGAGTACATATACATCCATGTACAAATGCATCTGTATTTGTTGATCATGTTTGTAAATGTGTGTAGTTGGATGTATTTGAATGCAGACAAATGTGTGCCTGTGGATGTTTGGGGACATGAATGTAGATGTGTGTAGATATGAACAAGGATATTTTGTGTGATGGTTTTCCTCTGGATCCTGATTCCCTCTCACCATTGGCAAGATATTATTAATAATTTGATTAGGAGCTACTCAGCATATTGTGATTAGGTTTTGAGAGTTTATAAGCCACCAGTATCATAATGTTGATCTAATTATTCAAGAACAAACACTATCCAATGCAAGGCTGGCCTACTACTCTAAATCAGTGCTGGCTGTGTGGCTGTTTAGTGGTGTGCAATCTTTGTTTAATTGTGAGGCATTGTGTTTAGAAACAAAGACTTTGTTATCTGTCTTTAGATATAAACTCGTTGCCCATGATTAAAGTGAACAATGGTAATTAGATTACAAGCATGTCTCATACTTTCATTGCCAGGAAAACTTAATTTTACATAGCATTTTTTGTGTTCATTTATATTTTTCATAATTAATTTTGCACATACATTAGCATTTCCTATTTTATGTATCAGTGTGGTGTAAGGTGTCCTATTACTGCTGATTTTCTTGAACTCTGTATAATCTTCAATTTACTCTCTACATTTATCTTACACTTCCTATCCCTTGAGTGTTCAGGCACTTCTAGGCTGGCTGTGCAGTATCATTTAACAATTTTGGAAGAATATACATCCTCATTGTCTGCAAGAAATAAGCAGGATTTAGACCCAATAAAGCTGGCTCCCTCAGTTCCCTAGATAGCATCCCCACTGGTCAGAATTATCACAGAAGTGTGTCTGGTTCCAGATTCTGTGCTATTATCTGTCATTATAATCTTAATAATAATATTAGTTTAAATGGCTCACAGGTTGACTTGCCTCAATCTGTACAAATTTACAGTATATATGTGTCGAATGTAGAAAAGTACACAGTAATTTGCTGTCATGGGATAGGCCCTTTATGCATGTACCAAATTAAAAGGAATAATATCTTTTCCTCTTCCCTTCCTTTTCAGAAACTAGATGAATCAACAGCTTTACTGACAGCAACGTGTGATACATTTATTCGTACCTTGGAGGAATGCATGAAGCTCGCTAACACCTCCCAGACGCCCCAGCTTTCTGGTGAATTCCCAGTTCCTCCAATCACACTCCTTAAGGTCAGTTAGTCTACCTTGGGAAGAATGGTCACTTGTGCAGAAGCATGAAACTTTATATGTGTTATGGAAGGAAGAGCTGTATATACGTGTTTATGTGAATATGAGGAGAGGTAAGAGAGTAGAACTTTGTAGACTTTTAGGAAAAAAAGAAAGACAAATGTGTTTTCACAAAGACAGTGCTATGTATTTTAAATTTACTGTAATCTATATTTTATTGAAATTTCACTGACAATATGGAACAGATTTTTAAAGGCTTTGGTTATACTGTTATAAACTCAAATCTGTTCCCAATAGGTGGCATTTATGTATACTCCATGACATGACTATTCCTCTGAGGTTGGCATGTACAATCAGCCTTATTGAAATGTCTAGCTCAGTTGGGTTTTTCATTTAGAATACATCAACTGGTGACTCAACCACTGCCATGCATGAAACTGCACTGAGTCTCAAAGGGTTTTATATGTTTAATCATATACAAGAACTGCAATTTTTATTGTCTTGTTTTACTCAACATTGTTAAAAAACATTGTATGACAGTTGGCACAGGTTTGGGCAGAATTAAGTGAATACATGCTTTTTTATTGTCTCATAAAAATGGAATGTTGTGAATAGGCTCAACAGTTTTCTATTACAATTTATAGAAAAAAAAGACTTTATTGTACCGGGTTGAAAAGTTATTGGCAAAAATTTCCAGTTTTATATTGATTTTTGTCATAGATTTTTTTTTACATAATTTGTACTTAATCCATTCACGCTGGGTGTCACGTATATGTGACATGCCCACTGTGAGTTTACTTGTTTAATTGTTTTTACACATAGATGGCTACACTTGTACTTGTACTGCCTGTCTTGCCTGTTTACCCTTTTCTTTAATTTACGGAAATATTTTACGTTATCTTATTTTGATGTTACTAATGTTTATAGCATTATAGTAATTATAATATTTATAATAAAAATAACCATCGATATTCATAGCACTAGTAAAAATACATTTTCCCGGCAATTCAAGTAAAGGTGAAATCAGGTATGGCAGAGCCATCTAGTGCAGAGACATTTCACAAAAAAATATAAAAAATGAGCACAGCATTTTTTGTTCATTTTTACCCGTTGCAAATGGGTTAATCAGTAAAGACTATTTATACATCATAATTAAGAGATATACTTATAAGAAGATCATGAAGCAAAAGTAGGCTTAAATGTCACTTTTTAGCCAATATCATATAGGGTAGGAAATTATATATAGTTCCCATGCTTCTAATTTTTCCCACATGTCTACTACATGTAATGCTCATAACAAGTATAAAGGCTATGATTAATAACCATGTTTGATTACTGAATTATTATTTTCTTCAACCATTATTTCATTTTAACTGATCAGAAGTGAACAAACGGACCAGATCAGTTTTATGAAAGAAGATAAAATCTTTGTTATATTTTGAATAGTTAGAAGGCTGTCGCATGTTTTGTGGTATGTTATCTCATGTATTTTTCTCTGTTGTTTAGGAGAGAAAAAGTTCTTCATCGACACCTGTTGTTACCAGACAGAATTCTGCAGAAAGGTAAGATTGTTGTTACTATGTAGAACATTGTGAATGATTGTTTTATGTTACTGTTTACTGATAATTGAAATTATTCAGTAAAAAGGAAATAGATATGTATATGATTCTTTTATGACTGTTTTACTGTATACTGGTAACTGAAATGTTAAGTGAACATTAAATTAAGTATAGTAACGGTAAGTGGGGTAAAGTTAACCTAGTGGGTGACATTTTTTTTTTGCCAGGTCCATTTTAAGGCCAGAAATTTGAGACATGTCTTACATTATCAAGAAAAAAAAAGTAGATTGAAATGACAGCACTCCAGATATGGCTGAAGTTTTATCACATGCCTTATAAAGAATCATGAATTTTGTTGATGTACAAAAATATATAGTTGTCCATTTATATCCTATTGCTAAAAAGAATATTATTAAATTTAGATGTGTAATGTTTTTTTGTTTTTTTTCTTTTTTAATTCAAATAAGGCTGAATATTCTGATTTCGTATGAAAAACTAAAGAAAAAGAAATAAAGATGCTAGACTGAATTTAAAAGGTGGTAGTAAGATTGACCAAAAACATGGGAAAAGTTAATAGGTAGGATTGTTTTAGAAATATTGTCTCTGAATGAATGTGAAGTCTCCTATTGAAATAAATGAATAAATAAGTAAATAAATAAATAGATAAATAAATAAATAAGTAAATAAATAGATAAATAAATGAATTAATAAATAGATAGATAAATAAGTAAAGGAAGACAATGTATTATTATTAGGTAGTTCCAGGCAGCAAAAAATGAAAAGTTTTCACCACATCAAAGAGCCAAAGATAAGATAGATGGGGCGGCCATTATCAAAGCATCAGGGCAGGGTAATCTAAATGCGAGAAAGTAATATATTTTCAATCAGCTGGCAGGTGTTTACAGTAATTTATTCTTACGTTGGTTAGTTTAAGGTAATGGTACTGGTTTTGTTTATTTATTGTATTTGTTTATTTTCTCATAGAATGATATTTTTTTCAAGTATAAACTGTCACTGTTATTGTATTTTAGAATGTATGAAGTATCTTCTTTTCTTTTTTTCTGAAATTATTTTCCTTCTTATTGGTAGAGTATTTTAAAATCATATATATATTTTTTTATGGGGACCTTACTAAGGTCAAGTCTTGCAAGTCATTTAGATATCTTAAGAACTGAACAGTGCCGTACTCAGGCCAAGAAATCATTGATTTATAAGACAGGTCAATGTTATTAGAATTTTGTGTATAATTTTGACTGCCCAGTTTTTCTTTTATAAGAAACAGGGTTTTTAATATGCTGAGAAAACAAAAATCAGTGTTACAGTGCCAAAGATAAAACTTTTCCTTGTTGAATATAAGGGTTTTTAAGTAAAATAGGTAAGGTTTGATTCAAAGGTTGTTCTGCTATACCCCAGTATCTGTAAAACAGTCTGTTTAACCCATTTGCGCCGGGTGTCACGTATATGTGACAGGCCCACTGTGAGTTTACTTGTTTAATTGTTTTTACACATAGATGGCTACACTTGTTGTGAGTATTTTACATTATCTTATTTTGCTGTTACTAATGTTTATAACATTATAGTAATTATAATGTTTTTAATGAAAATAACCATCGATATTCATAGCACTAATAAAGAATACATTTTCCCGCCAAATGAAATCAGGTGAGGCAGAGCCATCTATGTGTAGAGACATTTCACAAAAAGCATAAAAAATGAGAACAGCAAGTTCCCCATTTTTTGTTCATTTTTACCCGTCGCAAATGGGTTAAACTATCATTTCACCACAAAAATATAATACTAATATATGTATATATATATATATATATACGCCATTTATGAAAAAACTGAATTTATGTGACTGGTCCCTTTTCTTCATCGTAGGAGGACAGAGTAGCGGAAAAGGAGACCGAGACCAAGAATGAAATCCTGCAGCATCAAATCACAAAGTTACTGAAGAAAGTTCAAGTGCAACTTACATCCAGAGTGAAAGCATGGAGAATGTTTAAATAGATTGATTGGTATCTGTGCATTTTTTTTTCTTTTTTTCTTTTTCTTTCTTTTTTTCTTCATTTCCTTTGTGCAAGTAGTGAGTTACTTGTTTTTTTGTTTTTTTTTCAAAGATAGGCTGTTATGGAGGCTGTTTTGTTTATTGTTTGTGCTATTTTTGTTTATTTTATGTATTGTTGAGAATACTCTTGATTTGTTTAAGATACTTATATTATTCTGATTTTATATTTTGATTGAATATATTTGTAAAGATTTCTTACACATATACAGTATGTATGTACAAGCTCTCACACATACTCTATAAAAAACACACACACACACACACCCACACCCACACACCCACACCCACACACCCACACACCCACACACCCACACACCCACACACACACCCCCACACCCCCACACACACACACACACACACACACACACACACACACACACACACACACACACACACACACACACACACACACACACACACACACACACACACACACACACACACACTCACATATACACATACA